CTTATAAGGCTAACCTCCCTTGAGCTAGACTGCGAGCGAGGGGGGGGGGGAGGTGGGGATGAATAGCATAGCATACGTCAAACGGGAGGAAAACCTAGGAAAGTCAACAAACAAAAACCTTTTTCTCAAGGCAAATACGACCCTTCCCTTCAATGAGCGAATACGATCCTCTCGCAGGGAATCGCCAACTAATGGCCTGCCCTGATTCTGGTATGTACGGACTGCACGCCGATGTTCACGTTCTGAAGAATTATTGGGAATTGTTCTGTGCACTTGTCCCACACCGCCAATCTCATTAGTTAGCTTGCAGGGAAAAGCAACTGAGATTGCCTTTAGCGAGGTGCAGCCAGCTGTACATAATTGTAGATCAATCTGGCGTGCGATACTTCCTGCCTCCTTGGGAGTTTCACACTCGGCCAGGCCGAGAGCAACTGGAGTGCACTCCTCTGGCAGCCCACCCGGCCGGCAAGATCTGGGGCAATTATTCCCGTGATATGCGGCTTTTTAACCAAGTGAGGGTTCAGAAGCGCTACCCAGGAGAAAAGAAACACTAAGTTGGACTGGCATAGGAGTCTCCAAATCTGTCAACCCTTCTTAAACGATGTTAAAAATTGCCGTATAATGGAAGAGCTCCTTGCTGAAGACACCCTTATATCCTTTCTTTCGACCCTTGAAGAGCTCTTGCATTTCTGAGGGCTTCCACCCCCATCAGGCATGCGCGTTGTTCCATACTGAGTTCAAAAAGCAGCGCTCGAGGCGGAGATTGAATGCTCGGCGAAACAATTCGTCCAGTCGTCCAGCTATCCAGAGAGCATTACATATGAGTGGCACCCGGGCATCTCCATTCTATGTGCACTCATATTTTATTCAATTGCCTCTCAGAAACATCTTTCGCGCTCACGTCCCCTTTATTGAATTGCAATGAAGCATATTTTCAGTGGGAACGAATTGGCAAAAATGAGTTTTATGTGCTTACCTTACTGGAGGCCATTTCTGAGACGGAGCGATGCGTTTGAATCGTTTCCAACTGATCCAAACACCAGTCGAGTTCTTCTGAAAAACACATTCTTCGATTTCTACTTCATTTTGGAGTCATGAGTTTTTCACAGTGGATTACCGAGAGTTTCCTGAGCACAGGTAACGACGTTTTCGGGCAACGGAGTGTTGTGGAGCGGTGGACGCTTCGCTGTGCGATTCGCGTGACGTCCGTCGTCCGCCGACTTCAATTCAGAATATTTCATCAAAAAATAGAAAAAGTTCAAGAGTCCCTTCGGACATGTTCGATGGAGTCGTGGCACCCTCCAAGTCTAAAACTCGGTGCCAGCACCTAGGTTTAAGTGGTAAGAAGCTACTACAGCTATTCTTGACCTCAAAGGTGCCAATTGTCATCTCTTATTGAAATCTGAGAATCCCCTTACAACAACAGCTAACCTCTCTATTCCACTTCATCTTAGGTCAAGAGGGATACTTAACAGACTCCCTGGGCGAAACTCGAATTGCCGTGATGGATGTGAGGGTTTTTGTCCTAGCCCAGATGGGTGAATTACTTTCTTTGAGCAAAAAGGTGTTACGGTAAGCCTCACAAAGGGAGACCTTTAAATGCCTCATCAGTCGACATGCCCCATTTGTTGCTTCTGCGTGTCAACAGGAAGGATCCAACTGAAATCAGGACGCCTTCCAGGAAGGTTCCTGCTCCTGAGAAGACTTCCGAAGAAAGTACCCTCCTTGTGTTCAAAAAGGAGGTGACTGGGATAATTGGAAAGCCCTCCTCACCCGTTCTGGAATTCCAAGAAAGTCTAATAGGTATACATCAGATGACCGTGATTTCACTCTAATCCCTCGCACGCCCTCAACCAACACACTCCTTAGGACTCGGGAATGAACGAGCCTTTTCCTTTGAAAAACGACCGGGATTAAAGGGTTTAAGTCACGGGGAGCGAAGTGGGGATGACAACAAACGGAAAACTCTGAAGAGTACAACTGAACTCACCTGGATGTTGGCGATGGAAATAAGATTTGCTCGGACATTTCGAAGGCTGGCGAGCAGTTGAGCGAATGGTGTTACGATGAGGTCATCGCCATGTCTAAACGAAGCAATTTTGATTATTAAAACTTTTTTCTCAGAAACGACTACATCAAAGGAAAAAGCATCATATAGCTTGCACTAGAGCACTAGTACTAACATCGAAGGGACTATATGACATTGTGGGAATATTACCTAAGTCCAGCCTGTCCATATTTTCGTCGCAGCATAGGTGATGTATCGGTCAAGATGCTGAACTTTCTTTTCAAAGGAATTTTCAGAGGAGACGAAATATTTGGGATAAAATCGAGCAGTAAAACCGACGAAATCAGATTTCTATTTCACAGACATGAATGGGCAATAGTTGCAGCAACAGCAAGAGCAGCAGCAAGTAGCACTCGGAACACGCGTTGAATGCGCTTGTACGCCCGCCCTTCTTTGAAGAGTGAGGTCCTCAGACATACCCGCCTCCGTTTTGATTTGCCACACGACGACGACTATGGCGAGGAGGCGACGTTGTTGCCTCTTTTCACGTGACATATGTCAGTGAAACTCAAAGAAATTGGGAAATGGAAAGGCAAAATTGCCATGGGAAATCAATGCAACTGAACTGAGCGATACGCCTTTCAACAAGAACGCTCGGGCTGTCTTTGGAAACGACAAGAGGGAATTTCATAAAAAAAGCTATCACACATAAAATGGGCCATTGAGTTCATCCTTCGCCCTCTAAGTTCGTGGAGAATTTTACAGTAAAACTATAACTCAAAAACAAGTGAATTTTTTCGCATTATGCTATCACGAAGGGGTTGGGAGGAGCACCTTGTGGATGTCTTGGGTTCCTTTGGGCTACCTTGTAAACAGGGCACGTCGTACCTCGGGGAATCCCTACTGCGAAGAGCTGTCCTATTTGGTGGGCGGAAGGAGACGGGCTTATTTGGCTGCATTATTTGGAAAATTTTTTGATAGATGATTTTTCCTTTCTGACGCTAAGTATGCACGACGCTGGGAGGCTCCCATTGGGGGGAGGGGGTGTCGCTTTTGCTCGTCGCCTTGAGGGAATGGGGTCTCATCCAGCCCTATTCTTCCGTGTGCGAGGCGACTTTTCCTTTCCTAGCAGGAAGTTGGGAAAATTTAGGAAGATGATAGGTAGGATGGCGGAGAGCGGGGAGGGGGGGGGTAGGTTGGAACGTACTATAGGAGATTTGGGGAGGGTCGTACTTTCCAAAAACTCTCCCCAACGGCAGAAAGTGCCCTGCTTCTGAAGCCCTGTAGGGGCATTTTTCACTTTTGCTACTTCCCATCGTCGGGTCAAGAGTTTCGAGAGAGCTTTTCATGAGCTTACAAGAGTTGACAGGTTTTACCATGGTGGCTGGACGAGCTTGCTCCAGCTTCACAAGAGTTCACAGGTTTCACCAGAGTGAGACTTGTAAATCGGAACCAGTGAAGCAGTGAAAGTGCGAAATACCCCCCCCCCCCACCTCTGCACACCCCTTCTCCCCCTCCATCGCCGAACTGCGCCTCCTGTGAGCTCGTATGAACCCATAAATTCGAGCCATTTCTTTTTTGCGTGTCAATCCTGAGAGCATCCAAGATATTTGGCGCCACGAATCACATACAGTAAACAATTTCTTTCATTGTAAACATCCAGAGGAAGTCACACCCATAGAGATTCAACTAGGATATCGCTTTAATTACAGAATTGGCTCATTCACCTCGGAGCTCTTTCAATCCTAAAACAAGGCGGAAATCCCAGTTTCAGGGGGCAGAATCGGCCCTTCGCCCATAAGTACCGGAAAAACGCTTCGAGTCGTGAAGAAACTGCGAGCAAGGGAAACTGGCATCATTTCGCAGCTTCACAGGAGTTCAAAGTCTCCACAAAAGTGTTGACAAGTTTTTAAAAAGAAGTCGACAGGGAGATTGCAGGTTTTTACAAGGGAGTTAGCAAGAGTTGACAGAATTGCTACCGGTATGTTGGCAGGAATTTCTAGGCCCTACAATCGAGTTTACAAGACCTCACAGGTCTTAACGGGACTGCCCGGTATGTCCCTTGTAACCAACAAAATCCCCCCCCCCCCCTAACGAACCTGCGCTTCTTCCCACTAGTACCATGCCCATTTCTCCAACGTGCGCGTGGGAATCCTCCAGTTGCAACTCTCAGCTTTCACTTTGCACCCAAAAGGGAGCAAAGCGGAAGGAGAAACGCTCAAAGCGGAAGTGTGCGTGAATCGGATGACGAGGGACACACTCCGATGCAGCATTGTATGGACGTATCGCTGTCAAGTGTTTGCATTTGGAGAGGGAGGATCCCACGTCACCCGCACATATGCACACACACGCACCCATACGGGCCAACCACACGCACAAAGCGAAATTTGTTAGACGGCTGACATCCTTCAGCACAACTGACGACGACTTCAATTCGTCTCTTTTCTGCTGTCATCTTCAACAGACAACAGCCGGATCAATAGAGCCAACATTGGGCGATTATGCCTCAGCGTTTCGGCACACTGAAACGGAAACAAAGAAGTGTATCGCTCTTCTTGTGGGTCGATGAGGGGCCGATGAGAGGCCGACGATTCCTCTTCGATGGGAGTACGACTACGGACGGACGGCAAAAAGTGGTCGTTAGAAAGACTAATGATGGTGTATCCGGCGGAACAAAATGGAACTTTTTTGACGATAGCCCGTCACTCAGGCAATTCCACAGTGATCAACGACACCTGTTCCAATCTGACATTGTAACATCATTCCAACGCTGAAACGCTTCATTAAATAGGCTAAATGGTGGCAGTTTCAATGGGTGTGAGAAAGAATGTCGGACTTACTTTGGCGTTTTCGATAGGAATGACATACGTGCGACTACCCGCACATAGTCAAACAAACGACGACACTAAACGGACTCTAAAATTCTCACACCACACGGACACGCCAAGCCGGCTGACGCGGCTTGCTAGAGAAGCAGACAAGAGGAGAGATTCGTGGAGGTACGAGGGTTGAACACCTGTTTCGTTGCTCGACACGAGGAGCGTGAAGAAAGCAGGATGAACAGGTGACAGGGAGCTCTTACCTGGCCAACAACGGATCATCGTCGGCGCACGAGGACGACGTGCACATGGCCGATCTCGAAGGATTCACCCGTCAAGGTCATTTCTTCTGTTAGAAGCGCTAGCGCTCTGCAATCTTTTCCTATCAATCGACACCACTTCCGGTAGTGATTGTGTAGCAATGATGGTAGTGATGGTTGCGGCGGCGACGGCTGTGTCGATGATGGCGGTCATGATCGCAAAGGTGGTGGAAGACGGCCGTATACCGGTGCGCACACCCGGTGCTGTTCTCATTTATGGCCGAACGGCTACGGAAACGAGAACAGAAGCACTTGCGCATTTGGTTCTGTTGCCTGCTCTAGAGTTATTCAAGGGTCAAATTACCCAGGGGCCGCACATTGTGTAGGGCCTGTGATTTGCTTAGTAACCTCAAGAAGGTTCAACAACGCTAGTGACATAGATTCTAGCGTTGATAATTTTTTGGGATAACTTTCACGATCATCAACAATTGTAAGAGTATAGAAGCTATACCAGCCTGTGTCCAAGAAGGCTTCCCAGGACAAGAAGAACTGGGTCTGCGCAGAACTTCATCTAAACAAGTGCGACGCAAGCCTTCAGCCTGTGCATGCTCGACCCATTTTTTATGATCTGAACCAAAACACTCCTTCAACATGATGCCCTAGGGGTGGGCACTTCGGTCAGTCAAGAGTGAATTGCAAACTGCGTTCTTTTTCGGAGAAAGTTGGCACAAAATCCATGAAGGTTGAAAGTTCGGCGAGAATTCTGGTTCTAGAGCGATAAATCAATTGCACAGTTCTTCCTGTTTTAATCAAATACCGACGCATGATTAAGGACTGGTAATCAAGGAGGCGACCGGTCCCATAGGGATGTGCCATGCACCTGACTTGAGAATTATGAGGTCATACGTGCGCTAAACACAGTCTGAGAGCGCTTCCATCATGACAACCCCGTACGGCGGAAAATTCATTAGTCCTGCCTGAAACCCCAGATTCCAAGATCATGGTTCAAGGAAGAAAGGAAGGAAGTACCTATCAAAAACGACCTAGGAGTCCACCCCTTGTCCTTCTTATCGTTCAACATTTTTGAACTGTTAAACAGATAACAGAAATTGAATGCGTGGCATGCTTGTGAAGAAAAACCCGGTCCACTAGGCCTTCAGACACCGTGAGGCATACTTTTGGCTGGTGCCCGTGCAGTCCTTGAAATTAAAAACCTCCATTTCTCGTTTACCACTGAAGACGGAATTCAGAAATAGACCCAGCCAAAGATCTGTGAACTGCTAGGACTGAAAGGCTAGCGGCTATCCTTTCGAAGAGGACTACACGAAGATCCGTAAAGTCCATGACTTGCTTTAGGGCAGGTGATGGGCATACAAGGGGAGGTGATCCAACAATAACTAAGGTTCCTGACCTCGCATCCTCATCAGGGTACTTCCATTTTCGCACAAGGAGTCCAGCAAATGCTTTCCCACCCCGCGGTTACGTGACATCTTGAACGTTTATACACATGTCTCGGCTTCTTCAGCGTTCTCACTGTTGCGAAACTAAGAAACGCAGACAGATAGAGGACGATGCCTGCCTAAGCATCGAAAAGTGCAAGAAACTATGACGAGCCAGAAGACGAGCTTTTTCGAGGGGAGGGGACTCCAGGATGGGGTGATCCCATGTATAATAGAGTGAAAGCTTGGAACGAGCGAAGTCAGCAATGTACCATTAAAGTGCACGCGGATGAGAGAGAGAGAAAGCAGGAGGGAAAAAAAAACACAAATTCAATGCGATTCACACGGGATTGAGTTCAAGGTTGTCGCTAGACCCACACCCGCCGCTTCCCAATCTCTTCCTCTCCTTCATAAATTAGTTCGCCGCCAAATAGTATTTTTCGTTTGGGCTGTATCTGCGCAAAATGCTCGCTGAAAGTGTGCTTGGGGCAAGATTTTCATCCGACAGTTGATCAGTAAACGTAGTTTAGATGTTTTTACGGCGAAAGACCCTCTTAATGGATCCCAGTAGAAGTCTCATCTCGTTTGGGTCGAACTCAATTCCCTGAAATACAACATGACATCCCGAGCACTGTGTGATCTTAGCCACGATCAGCGGTTGATGACAGTGGACAGGTATCATATCGTTACTAGCTTTCCCACGTTAGTTTCTATTGTTCCAAAAGGG